ATGAGCCAGACTGAGACATGCAGTTGAACTTAGCCAATATCTCAAGTAAGGATTTATCCACAAGGAGACTAAATTCTAATGTATGGTTGCCAACCACAGTAACTCAGAAGTAACTGAACCTCTTGAAATTGATAGACTACCAGAAAGCAGTTTATCCCCATTAAAATCTCAAGAATGAATGAGTGGCCAACTGATTGGAAAAGATACTGAGATAAAGAAGATTCCAAAAAGAAAGATTTGCAATCAATCATGAAAGTCTCCGGAAAGGAAGTTATTATTGCTGTTTATTTGGATTGGCATTTCCTAAGAGCATGCCCTGTACACAAAACACTCTGTTAGCAGAATGGGAGTCAGAGAAGGGCAGACTTTGGCTCCATACTCCAAGAGAAACAGTAGGAGGTGAGGAGGTCACAGGACGGCTTGGATTAAGCCTTGTGACAGTGACCTGCAGAGATTTTCAAGCATCTCACAGAGGAAACCATTTGGAAAAGATGTGAATGTGATGGGGAAGGAGGAAGGTAAATCTGGAAATGACCTTCTCACTCTAGTTATTTAATAACTATCAATCAGTTCTGTTTCTAGCCGTCAAGCTTACATTTATGTATCAGGCTCCAGGCTTTCGTTTAGCATGGTGGCAGTCTTAGGATTCATGATACGTTAATATTAACATTGCATGAGTTCTAACATCCCCTAAATGCTTCGGATGGGCCAAATGCCCTTTTATGTGCTTTCTGTGTAATATTCTCACTTTGGAGATTATGGACGGAGCACAGAAAGTTAAACCAATTGCTCGAGGTCACTCTAGTAATCAGTGACAGAAATGATCTTTGAACTCAGGCTTTCTAACTCTAAGATCAAATAACTGATTTTAATCAATACATAGTACTGTTCTTTTTGCAGATAAGGAAGCAGAAGCCTAAAACAGCTCAGTGGCTTGCTGCTTCCAGAGTTATTATGTGACAAAATGAGAGTCACACAAAAATGTCTGCGTCATATTTATGTCAGCCCTCCTCCCCAGCCACTACCAGCAGCTTTATCTATTTGCTCCTCTGGAACCCACCATCCTACTGGAAATGAATACCACGGTCACCTTCCTGGCTTCATAGATCTCGCTCCTATCCATTCCAGCCAGCTTTTATGCTTGCTTTGCTTTCAGGCCATAAAGATCACATCAGTCATCCTTGATAATCAACCCAAACAACATCCTTCACTCGAAGTTGTGAACTTGTGAACTGTTCTCTTTGCTTCTTTGTCCTATCCAAGTCTCTTCAAACTCACGGCCACTGTCACCCTTCCCCACCTTCTCCTCCCATTCACTGGAAGCTGCATGACACCCACTTTCAATACTGCCCTGGGTTCTGGCTCAGTCATGTGCTGCATAATGCTGTTTTAGGCAATGGAAGCCACCTATACCATTGTGGCTTCATAAGATTGTACTGCCTAGTGATTTAACCACCATAATTGGTGCAAATTGTACTTGATGGTGTTTGTACACTGATGATATCACTGAGTCGTGTCTTTCTTGGAAGGATTCCTCTTTCTTCTTGTTCCTCTTCCATGCCCCACCTAGAAGACTTCCTGGAAAAGCCTTGCTTCCCTTCTAACCCATCCGGAATGGATCTTCCCTCTTTTGATATTTTGTTTGTACCACTGTTGTGGCCTTTGGAATATATTGTTTCGTGGTTCCTTGTTGTCTTTCTTTCTTTCTTTCTTTCTTTCTTTCTTTCTTTCTTTCTTTCTTTCTTTCTTTCTTTCTTTCTTTTTCTTTCTCCTGGTACACTGAGGTAGATCTTTTCTGTCTTCTTATCTTGCAGCAGTAGGCAGATGAGAGCACAGAGTTGTATAGCATGGAGCTTGGTATTCCAATTTAAGCTCTACCACACGCATTTTGTTCCCAGCTAGTCTTTTTAATTTCAACTTTCAAATGCAAGAAAAGCCTAGCAGAGGAGGCTTATGAATTAGAGGAGTTAATACAGATGTAGAAAGCAAAGTGAGTGTTCTATAAATCTTATACCTTTCTCCTAGCTCAATACTCTGCCTCAAATATAGTATCACAGATGTGCAAAGTGTGAAGGTGTAAATAATGTTGAATGGGGAGAACGCTTTCATTTGGGCAGTGTGGCAAGAGAAAGTGGAAAAGCTTCCTTCATAGGGCAAGATTCCTGATAACTAGAATTTTAATTTCCTGGATATTAATTTAGATAGCAATTATATAAAATTGGGTAAGAGCAAGCAAAGCTTGAGGAATACTGTTTTTGACTCAGGATAAATTCAACGAGTTCTCAGAAGACAAGCCCTGTTAGCCTTGTCTGCTTGTTGGGACAATACCTGACACCCACATCTTAAGGGAAAGGAGATTTATTTTGATTCACAGCTACAGTCGGTGGTCAGTGGGCTCCACAGCCAAAACAGCATGGAAAGGCCTGCATTGAGGAGAGCTGCCCAAGCCACAGTGTCGAGGAAGCAGAGAGAGACAGGTGGACAAGGAAGGCAGATGCTGTGCTCTCTGCCTGTTCTTGTTCCCAGTAAAACCCATGTAAGCGGACCCTTCCTTCTGCAGTGATTCAGATGCGGGGATAGTGCCCGCATATTCCACTGATGAGCACAGGACATATCTGGGTTACAGGATAGTGACGTGTCACACACTAATAAAAAGGGACAGAGGGATTAAGGAACTTAAGACCACTTAGACAATGTCATGGATTCTATAATTAGAGCCATCATGGAGAGCAGTTGTGCAAGGTAAATAATGAAAGTGGTGTGCTGTCGTACTTATTGTAAGAATGGTAGTATGATTTCAGGTGAGGTTTTTTCTTTTAATGATCTTGCCACAGGACATAAATTACCAGATATAAATCTTAGTGACAAAACCCACTAGATTTGAAATAAGGTTGAATTGTTCTTGACATAGGTCTCCTTTATTTCAAATAGGTTAGCAGATCAAACAAGTGCCTTTATTTGTGTAAGGATTTGTTTCTTTTTGCAAAATAGGAATGTATTATCAGGACATAGGTCACTGGGCTGTGAAATGGTTGTGTTTATGGCATGTGGATTAATGTGGTGTCCATCAAGTCAAATAAAGACTGATTAAATTCAGCTCATTAAGTGACCATGGTGGGCATTCATAAAATTGTTCATAATTGATGCAGTGCTGCTGGGGACTGAGTTTTGGGCTCTGAGACTCTTGGAAATTTCTAGGGAACTTTTTGAGTGTCATATCTTGGAGATGGAAGGGAGCATGCTACTGGCATTTATCATATAAAGTACAGAGCTTCTGCTGAAGAAAGTAGCTATACCCATTAAAATACCCAGCCCACAAGGAAGAATTACTCAGCCCGTAATGTGAATAATACAAAGATGGATAGATTCTAAGCTAATGAATGAGCAAAATTCCATCTCTCACAGCCTTATCTAGTAGCAGCTCTATTGAAAAATGTTTCTAGAAGGCAAAAAGTGCTAACAGTTGTATTCATGGAAAATACAACTTATACAGCACATCTTTAAAAGAACTACAAAAAGACACAGATATTACATACATTTGGATTAAAAAAATCTCCTTAAATCTTAGTCTGCAGTATCATATTTTATTTAAGGTACACTTTTAAAGAATGTATTTAGTACAGGGTTTACAGGGTCTCACTATGCAGATTAGACTTGTAGTCTTCAGCCTCCCAAGAGCTAGGATTATAGGTGCGCACCACCATGCCCAGGTTCAATAGCCATATCAGAGTGCCCCGGAGCGGGGCCGGCATGGCAGGCCGGGGATCAAACCTCCGACCACTGTGTCTGCCTAAGCAGACACTTTAATCTGCTGAGCCATTTGGCCGGCCCTTTATCACCATATTTACTCAATTATTTCTTGCATTTTTTGTATTAATGATCTTGGATGTGTATCTCTGTCTATGCACCTACTCTTCTACTTCCAGAAGAATGGAGAGAAAGGGGAAAGGATAGGCAGAATAAAAGAAGAAATAAAATGGAGAGAGATACGTTAAGTATATTTATTTGTATTATGAAAACATTTTATGAGATCTAAGCATGAGTTTTTCCTAGGGGCATTTAAGATACAATTCTCTTTAGAAAATTTCTATGTGCATACAGCGTGTAGACAAGTTGCCAAGTGGTATAATAGGACTCAGAACTCCGTTTATGCATTCATTATTTTTTCAACAACTCTTCAGCGAGTTCCAGCTGCGCACTGCACTAAGTGCTGCGGCCATGATTTATGTGAAGAGCAGGATTTTGACCTTTAAAAGCTTACATTGTAGTCAGAAATTTGGCAAAGACATGAATATAATAATTCATTAAATATTTTCAGGCTGTAATTATTCTATGAAAAAAGTAAGTATAATCAGATTTATCATATACTTTTTATCATTTATGCATATAACTTTTAGTTACTTAAAGTATGCATTTATAATGGCTAGTTAGTTAAATCCAGAATGTATTTTATTATTTCAGAAAAAAACTACCTGGGGGCCTGGCCCTAGCTCAGGCCTTTAAGTGGCTGCTTCCACAAAGTTGTCAGCCTCAGGTTGCTGGAGTTCGAACCTCACAACTCTCCCGCTGGCC